GGATGTTGGATTACATTCAGGTACCTCCCCAGGAGGTGAAATCTATTCCAGATTGCCTTCTCCAACTATATACTAAATTAAAATAGTGTGTACTAAGCATCAAGAAAAAGAAAGTTCAGTGCAGGAAAACCCCTTCTAAAACTAGCACAGGTCTCTGGTGGTTAGGAAGCAGGGAAGCCTGGAAAAGAATACACTATCCTCAGCTTGAAAAAAAAAAATCTAGAGCGCAGATAAGTTTGTTTCACCTACACGAGGTCGGGGTCCCGTTGTTATTCCCTTGTCTTACCTTCCGAAAGGGTAATTTTTCCCCTTTACACCACCGCTACAGCATCTCTTAAACTCGTTAAGAAAGAGGGAGCAGGAGCTTCTCAAGGCTACGTAAACTCCCCCGCACAAAAAGCCACTTCTGTCCCTGCTCGCCAAGCGCTCTCCCCCGCCCTCCCTGCCTTCGACGTTAATTTGAAAATTGAAAGAAGTCGCTTATTTGGGGGGAAAAAAGCAATACCCGAACGCATTCACCACCAAATGCCTCTGAGAAAATACTGTGGGTGGTGATTACGATAGGACAATGCCTCCTGTCTCTTTTGTTTTCTGCCTATAGAGGTATGGGTTTGTTTGTTGGGCTTTTTTTTTCTTCCGTGACAAAGTAGGACACAATCAGCAACAATCTTTAAAAAGAAGGAAGAAAAAAAACCAACTTATCTTCGCCGGCACGTGATATTTCCTCACGTTCACCACAGCTTTCATTAACCGGGGTGAAATGACCGCAAACAGTGCGACACGCAGCGAAATTAAATGTACACAAACTCCGGAGCCGCTAACCCCCTGTTTACCCCCTCAGCAAATACTGTACCAAATGTGCCATCACTGAGGACAATTTCAAACCCCTGTTATTCACAACAATCTTGCAGGGAAGCTCCTGTCGGCTGTCAGAAGGCCTCCAAGCTATAGTGACGGTGTGAAACAGACCCTAAAATCCCAGCCCGGCGCGGGGGGGAGGTTAGCAGGCTGTTTCGAAAGCCCCTCTGCCAAAGCCATGGCCGTGTTTAACAAGGTGCCCCGTGAGCCCCGCAGTTCTGCTCCTCTGGCAAAGCGCCGCGCAGGAAAGCTCCCCCCGCGGGAGGAACAGCCTTCACCGCGGGGTGCAAAGCCACCCCTCCTCCTGCTCTGGCGCTGCTCAAGTTCTGCACAGAGTTCAGCACTCAGCTACCCGGCTCCGGTGCGGATCCTAATTAAAGCCACCGGTGAATAAACGCTTTGCTGGGAGAAGACGACAAGCCTGGCGGGGGATGAAGAGGGGGAGGGATCCTTACCCTAGCAGCATGCCACGCAAAATTCCGACTGATTTTAGCTCCATACCCGCTGCTGCGGTGTAGGAGCACCTAAGTAATGAGCCGGGGTGATCCCGGCAAAAGAGGCGCATGTACGTACTCCGTGCTTGTGCGGTGCGGCACGGTCTCCCCAGGGCGGGCGGGAGTCGAGCCTGTGACCGTGGCGGGGGTGAAAGCCCGCCGTGAGCCAGCCCTTCGCCGCCCGGGGCTGCACAGAGCCCGGGAGCGCCGGGACGGGACGGGACGGGACGGGACGGGACGGGGCGGGACAGGACGGGATGGGACAGGACGGGGCGAGCGCCCGTCGCCGCCGGGAGCTGCCGGGCACAGCCCGCCGGGCCCCGGCGCACCGAGCGGCTCCGCAGCTGCCGGCACGAACAGGATCTGCCTCCTCCTTCGAGGGCCTGCTTGACCTGTCCCTCTGAGAAATAATACTCGGGATCCTTGCCGTCCTTCCTAACAGCCCGCGCGGTCTGTAGCCACTTCTACAGCTTGCTGCTTCCACACAGGGGGAAAAAATATAAGGAAGAAATGAAAAGAAACAGGCTGGCCTTTTATTGTCCTGTGGTGTCGGACTGGAAGTTCACAGGCAACTAGGCAGGAGGTACAACGAGAAGGTTTCCCTTAAAGGAATGGTGTAAAATCCCAGCGTCCTTATAAACAGAACTCAATTCTAAGAGAGTCTGCAATCTCCAGATGTTATTTTGGTTTTTTTCTTTATTCTTTACGTTCTTCCTCACTGACGATTTTGAGCTCAGCACTGTTAGTTAAGGAAACATCATCCATTAGAATCAGACTAAGATGCTTTTGAAAGAACAGCAGTGATGTGGAGTGTCGTGGTAAATGAGACCTAGTGTAGGTGTTTGAATACTTTCTGTAGCTTTCTAAAAGTAGAGAAAGAAAACAACTGCATGACTTTAAAGGTTAACTTCTAATTCTGACAAATAAGTACTAAGTCACACATTTAGGCCAAAGGAAATGCACTACCATTGCAAATCAAATATAATATTTTCAATAAACTGCACAGCTCAAAACAAGAAGAAAATGCACCTTGCAATGCACAACTAGTGTTCTTTTCAATAAACATAATAAGGTGAACCATCTCTACCCCAGCAAAATTCCTACTCATTCAGATCAGCCACGATCTCTATAAATTTCAGGCAATAAGGCTGAATAGCATATGGCCCTATTAAAAGGGGAAGAAAACCTGAAGCATTGTTTTTTTTTTTTTCCTTAAGATTTCTTACAAAGAGGTTTAACAGAGGAGGGGGAAAAATAATTAAAAAAAAGAAAAAGAAAAAGAGCAGCGGTTTGCTGAGTGAAGAGAAATTACAAGGCAGACAGTGTCTGTAAATGAGTGACTTCAAGGCAGCCCAGCCTCACTGCAGCTGTTCACTCTCCATGAACACCTAATTCAGGCGAAGGGGAAACAGGCTATTTTCCCTCTCACCTATATTATTAACCCCTCTCAAAAAGGTTTTTTTTTAACAAACTCGATAGGAAAGCTGTTTGTGCTGCCATTTCATTTACTCTTCCTAACAGTTTGAGCATTGAAAATTTAATTCCTAATTGAAAATGCTTTTGTCCACGCGGAGCGACGCGCATATATGGATAGGCACAACAAAGTGCTGCACCTTGCTGCTTTGTGGCGCCGCATTAAAGCTTTAATCAAAACTTCATGCTTCGGTGCTAACAAACAGTTTGTTACCATGTGATGGCCTAATGCAAACTTTCAGAGTCACTCCTGAAATACAGAGAATAGGGGGAGATTGGCATAAACGTGGAAGAATCGAGTTAGAAAGAAGAATCGTGCTAGGGAAATCCTTTGGATCCTCCCCGAGCGTTTTGGCAGAAGACACAGACCAGCTGAAGGGCACATTCCCTCCCCCTAGCTCGCCTTTTATTCCCGATTTTTTTTTCTGTGTCATATTTGGCATTGTTTTGAGGGAAACTTGAAAATCGTCTCCTTCACTCTGCAATGCCAAGTCCTCGGGAAAAAAAAAAGTATTCAGGTAATGAAGTCTGTAACTAAACGGTAATTGAATCAGCATAATTTGCACACTGAATGGTTTTCAAATGCTCCCAGTTTACAATTAAAGGAGAATTAATGCGCTTGTTGTTCAGACTGCAGCGCATTAGAATAAATCCAGCACTGTTGTTGTAATGAGTCGAGAGCAGTTTAACTGCCAGCAAACACATTTAAAATTTAACACGACGTATCGATCTCGCTCCGGCTTTTTGATGGATTATTTGCCACGCGCTTTTCTCCCCATTTCCCCCCACCCTTCCACCCCCACCCCAGCTATAAAATTCGCAGGGAGGAGAGACGCCCGCGCCAGACGTGGCACCGCCCGCCGAGGGCAGGACCCCTCATGAGGGAGCCACGTCGGGCGGGCACGGGAAGGGCCGGGAGGCGCCGGACCGGGCCGGGATGGGCCGGGATTGGGCCGGGATTTGGGCCGGGATTGGGCCGGGATTTGGGACTGGATTGGGCCGGGATTAGGCCGGGATTTGGGCCGGGATTGGGCCGGGATTTGGGCCGGGATTTGGGACTGGATTGGGCCGGGCCGGTCCGGGCGCGCGGGCGCTGCGCGGGCGCGGTTGGAGCGCGCGCGGCCCCGCCTGCCCCCCCCCCCCACCCCGCCCGCGCCCCATTGGCTGCCCCGCGCGGGGCCGCGCGCGCTGCCCCGCAGCGCCCCCGGGCGGCGCGGCCGCCACAGCGCAGGGAGCGGCGGCACGGACAGCGCCCGCAGCCCGGGAACCGGAGCCGGAGCTGGAGAACGGGAACCGGAGCTGGAGCCCGAGAGCCGGAGCCCTAGCCGGAGCCGGAGCGGGAGCCCGAAAGCGGGATCCGCAGCCCGAGCCCGAGAGCCAGAGCCCGAGAGCCGGGCTGTCGCCGTCACCACCCCCAGCACGGGCGCCGGTGTGCTTCTCTCGGCAACACTCCTGGAAAATGGTCTTTTCCCTCCCCCGTAGCCACGGGGATGAGCTGCCGCCAAGCGTTTGCCTGCTTAACGCATGACAAGAGAGAGAGGACTGCAAAAGGGCAGTCTGCCTAGGTTTTGTTCCTTGCAATCGTAGCGGGAATAAAGTGTGTGTGTGTGTGAAAGGAGATAACGCCGGTGTTTACTCGTGTTGCCGCGGTAATCTTAAAGGAGATTTGCTACGAAAGTCAATGACACTTCTCGCGGAAAATACTATCTGTGCTCGCCGCCGAGTGCCCGCCCGCCTGTGCCGCACCGCCCGTAGTGGCACACGGCGGGGTTCCCTTCCGGAGGGGCTCCCACCCTCGGCAGGGAGCGGAGGGCACGAAGTTGCCTCCATCCCACAGCCTGGCCGGGCGCCCCCGCGGCGGTGCTCTGCTGCCCGCGCAGACACACAGGGACCGGTCCGGGAGGCAGCACCGGGGGACGCGGCCCAGGAGACCCCGAGCCTGGTCCGGCCCGGCGGAGCACCCCGTCCCCGCGGAGCAGTTACAGGTCCTCGCACCCCGCCGAGATTTCCCGGCCGGGACCCGCACCGCCCCGCACCATCCCGGGAGGACGGGGCAGGGCTGGCTGAGGCGTGCAAGTAGTTGCCGTGAGTTTGCTCGTTCTCCGCCAGGCTGGCGCCCTCCTCCCCGACGAGCATCCCCATGCCCGGCCCGTGAGAGGGGCCGGGGACACTCACCAGGTAGAGAGTGGGCTGCAGCAGAAGGACCGCGTACCAGTACACAGCCTGCATCCTCGCCGCTCAAACTTCCCCCGCGCTGCTTTCGCTGCCTCTTTGTTCCTTCCAGAACATAGATCCACCTGACATCCACTTTACAGAACAAGCAGAGCTCTCACCAGCCTAGACAAAAACGAAATTATAGATCCCATGACCACAAGACAAGGTTAGGCTCAGCACAAGGGGGGAACAGAGGTGCATAGGGAAAGGGGGGGCGCGGGGGGGGGGGGCGGCGGCGGGAGAGAAGGAGGAGATGGGGTGTGTGAATAGGGGTGGGCGAAACAAAAAACGATTAAAATCGAGTTAATCCATCGTCAGAGCAAAGTGATCACGGTCCGAGGTGGCGGCAGACCGCCTACAGGCAGCGCTCCCCGGCGCTCAGTCCTTTCCCTGGGCGGGAGAGCCCCGTGGTGTGGGCTGGGACGGCCCGGGGGTGCCACTGCTAGCCCTGCCGGTCTGTGTGCCCCGGCGGGGACCGGGCGGCAGCCGCCCGCCCGTGGGCTGCGGAGCCCCGGCAGCGAGCTAGGGAGCGGCGCGGGGAGAAGGCGGCAGCGGACGCTAGGGTCGTGGCTCAGGATGCTTGTGGGCGCTTAAAGCCGAGGCAGAGAGCTTCGCCTTCGGGACGCCCGAGCAGGATCGGCTTACCCCTGCAAGCGCCCACCTCCTTCTGCCGCTCCTAAAGGCGCGCCGTGCCCTGCCCCGGGCCGGGACCGCGCCCCGGGGCGCCCCGACGGGCGAGCACCCCCATCCCCGGCCCCAGCCCTTCTCCGCCCCCGCGGCCCGCGGACAGCCCCGCCGCCGCGGGGGGGCCGCGCTGGGGATACGTACGGCGTGCGGGATCCGACGGCGGACGGGGCTCCGCGGGACGCTCCATGGGCGAGCCTAGAGGGGCCGAGTGCCGCGGCGCAGCCCGCCGCCCCTGCGCATCTCCTGGCCGCGCTCCGCGCCGAGGGGTCCCGCGGCCGCTGTGCATCCAGCGCAGGCACTGTCAGGGCGGCGGGGCGGCTGGCAGGCTCTCCCCCCCTTGCCTCCCCTTCTCCGCACACGGCCGCGCTCTGGATCCGCCGAGCAGGACACTTACGGGAGGAGGGAGCTGCCCGGGCTGCCCGCTCGCCTTCGGCGGGGGGCGCGGGCAGGAGCGGCGGCACCGGCGCTCCGGGGCGTCCAGAGCGATTTGTCTCTATTAAAAATGACTTATTGGCGAGTGAGCGGCGAGCGCCTGCTATTTAACTTCAGATAAAATCTATCTGCAAAGACCTTGGCCGATCATCTTAAAATAAAGCGCTGGAGCCGAGCACTGTCCGAGGCTCACTGCTTGGGGAAAGAGAAAGAGCAGCGGAGGGGGGAGGACGGGGGGGCTTGCCAAGCGAGGGGGGAAGGGAGGAGGGAGGAAGGGGAGTTTAGCGGCGTCCCATCCTCTCCGCTGAACGGGGTGATGAATTAGAGCCCTCCCCGGGCGGCGCGATCTGCCTTGCGCTGCCCGCCCTGCCCACCCTGCCCGCGCTGCTGCCTGCCCTGTCCCTGCTGCCTGCCGTGTGTCCTGCCCTGTCCCTCTGCCTGCCCTGTCCCTCTGCCTGCCCTGTGCCTGCTGCCTGCCGTGTGTCCTGCCCTGTCCCTCTGCCTGCCCTGTCCCTCTGCCTGCCCTGTCCCTGCTGCCTGCCCTAGCCGCCCTGCTGCTTGCCTCTGCCCGGGAGCGGCGCTGCCCTTCCTGCCCTCCCTGCTGCCCGCGCTGCTGCCTGGGCACAGCCCTTCCCCTCTCTGCCCTCCCGCGGGAACCGGCTGTCCGCCTTAAAGGAGCACGGCAGAGCATCTTTTTCCTCTTTCTTCCCTTCCATTTTAGTTTTTCCGCCTCCCTCTGCGGTGTCCCGTGCACCGACAGTGCTGCTCCGCCTGGAAGTCAGCGGGCGCCCGGCAGCCAGGCACGGAGGTGGCAGGATCGCGGAGCCCAGATGGGTGACGGCTGGGGGAGCCAGGCTCCACGATGGAAGGGTGGCTTCTCCCGCGCCAGCAGGAACCTGTAGCTGGACAGCCCCTCGGAGTGAAGCTGGAAAGCTCACCCCTGTCGGGTACTGTGGCTTATCCTGCCAGCTGTCATACAAATGGAAAGGTCTCACCGACCTGTTTTTGCTTCTACTTTGCAAAGAATCCTATGGATGTTTTTCATACACCCTTCCATCCCCTAAACGGTATCATTACTAGCGTGACATTGGGACAGGGTGAAGGGGAGGATACCAGCAGCACAGAGCAGCCTTACCAGATGCCCAAGCTCAATAGCAAACCTCAGATTTATCACTTCCCAAAGCCAAAGCAAGAAGCACGCCAGTACGCTGTGCAGAGAGGGAAATGATAAAGAAAAGGAAGACTTCAGTTGTCCTGTCAAATCTTCTCTCAGAGCACATTGGGGTAACTAATTTCTATGATCTGAGGCTTCAGTATCAAGCTGTAAAATACTTAATACTTAAATATGTTTTAATTCTGGGGTCTGAATTTGGAACACTATAATGAAAGCAGGAGCAGGGGAGCAGGGAAAGAATGGGGAAGGTAATGAGTACTCTTTGAAAGAGCTGCACCAGAGCCCTCCCCCATAGCCATTTCTGCTCCAAACACCTGGAAGATGGACACCTCCATATGCTTCCAGCACCATCACTCTGCTAGACATGCAGAATGCTCATGTCACAGCTTTGAACAGAAGTGTGCAGCCTGCGAGGAATCGTACTGTCATCCTGCCCCTCCAGACAGCCTCTGCGTTGCAGTGCAGGCTAAAGCTGCCTAGGGACTTCTCCTTTCAAAAGGAGAACAAAAAATTGCAGCTGACTTTTCCCTTGCAACTCCCTCCTTCCTATAGAGATAAGGAAGTCTCACTTCTCCGTTAGTCTGGGGCTAGGACCACACCTAATAAACAACCTAGAGAGATGAGTGAGGGGGAGAGAGAGAGGAGATGGCTAGATAGATATTGCTCTCTTTGCATAAAACGAACTTGCCATAGACAGTGTGGAGTATACTGCTGATCATTGCAATAACTTGCTGTTTAACACAGCACAGTTACTCTTATTTTAGATATGAAATTGACAGGTAAGTGTGGAGCAGAAAAAGCAAAGTCTGCCAGGTATCAGTAGGTCATGCTCCTGGAGAAGACATAATTTCTTCAGGAAGGAGCAATTCAACTCTAGGTATAACTTGATTCACTTTACCCAAGTTCTGATCACTGCCTTCCTATTAGAGTGACAAGGCAGTAGTCCCAGGAGAATAATCATTCCTTCAGCTGGTCAAATAGAAGGTCCTCCTAGTCTTTCTCATCTAGATCCTTATACCTTGTCTAGAGGAGCATTGTGGAGGCTCCACTATGCCTCATGACTCCTCATTCCTGGCTCCACTGGAATCACAAGCATGCCTCATCTTTACTTCATCCCATTGAAATGTCCTCACCCTGTGAATTCAGCAAGGTCTCCTATTAACAGCCTGATCTGTGTGGCATCTATTTGAATTGTTGGGAAGACTCTTGAGGCAAAGTTCTGAAGGATGGGTGGACCTGTTTACTGAAGGTTCAGACCGTTCCAAGGTCTCGTTGGCTTAACTGAGGGTTTCTTTTTTTGCCCTTCAGCTGACCTCCTTAGCCAGAGGCCACTGGGACAAACCTTCTAACTACAACAGAACTGAGTGAGATTTCCTTCAGAAATGCTGCTTGGATTGCTCCTTCTCTCCACTGCCATTCCAGAAGAAAGGAGTAAGGAGTATATGGGAATCTGGATTAAGCATTTTTATTATTAAAGAAAAAAAAATGCAAACTCCAAAGTATTCCACCTGTGAACATGTGATACTTTTTCAAAGGGAATAAAATGATAAAATGCATATAAAAATCTGACATTTAAGATTTTTGGATACAGTCATTTGACTTTCATCTGATCCTGTAATATTGGTGCAGCAGCTTAAGTGGAGTATCAGATTTTTGCGGTGAATAAGTGAATTTTAATTTCAACCATTTGGATGCAGTTTGCAATTTTAACAATAAGGTCCTCATCAAAGCAGTATCAGCTAGTGAGGTTTTAAAGAATCACAAGTTCTGGGCTTAGTAACGGACTTTGCAAAAGACCAATTAGAGTTTAGAATGTAATTGGACTATTTTTAAAGCTTGGAAATACATTCTAGCCTTTAGATATCTTCCCTGTTTCTGCAAAGATAGCGTCCTGGCTTCAAGAACTGAAAGGGTCACAAGCAGAAAATCCAAAGACAATGGCAAGTGATTAATAACTGTTACAGGTTCCAATGGAAGATGGGCACATGGTTTAATTGCTTGAGGCACTGGAAGAAAATACAATGCCGTTATGATAAATATCAAATGATTGTGCTAAACTGACTGCACAATGTAGCTAACCTGTCTAAACATGGACAGTTATTTATGAAATAGTGAATAGAACTGAATCTCATGGAATCCTATTCATAGAGACCACACATCTCTTATTCTGGAAATAAACTGCTTGGGGAAAAAAAGCAAAGCAAAGGAGGCAAAGGTGGGCCAGAGAACAATGAAATCCATTTAAAATGTGAAGAAGCAAAGGAATAAGAAGAGAAAGTCTGATGAATCAGTGTCTGGCAATATGAAGAATATTTCAGTAAGATTATTTACATGAGTGATAAGGAGTGTCCAGCCTGTAAACTGTAGAGTACATATGTAGGGCATGTGCAACTCCGCTATCTTATCTATATGCGAGCTGAATTCAGCTGGAGTTGCATATGCACCACAATGACAGATTATGGCCTCCACAGCTTTTCTATATTTGTACCATACAGTGTGTGGGCCAGATGCCTCATATCACTCATGTAAATAATCTTATTGAAATGTTCTTCATATTGCCAACCATTAACTCATCAGACCTTCTCTTCTTATCCCTTCCCCTCTTCACATTTTAAATAGATTTCTTTTGTTTCAAGGAAATCTTCATGTTTGAAGAGAGCATTTTTATGGTTGGTATAAATACTACAACAGAGTCCCTTGTCACATTTTATTTCCATTTTTCAAGGTCAGAATATGACTGTATGTACTATTGCTATTTCTAAATATAAAAATATCTCTGTGAGACTTTTATTTTTATTACATTGATTTCTGCCTACTTACAGTCAAAGGCACACCACAAAGTGATGTTTCTCTGTGTTCCATATGGAAAAATACAGGAATACTCCAACCCCTTCAAGAGAAGTGTCTTGTATTCATGGTGTTCTTAACTATTTCTCCTGACATTATACCATGCTGGAGTGAGATGTGATGGTCAGCATCAAAGAAGACTAAAAGGTAATGTAGAAACAGCTCTGTCTGGACCACTCAGTGCTTCTGTGATATAAACATGAGTAAGCCTGCAGGCTTCATAAGACTTATTGCAGGTGCACAAAAAAAACTTGAGATGAGGTAAAAAATAAATTATAATCTATATGAATAAAGCTTACAGCCAAATTTATCTATGGGATTCTCTCATTAGTAATGTCTTTAAATTCAAAGAGGAGGGGAAATCATGAATTTAATAAGTAAAAATCTCTCAAACTTCCATTGCATAGGGAGGTTATTTTCTAACAATATTTATAAATATATATATGTATATATGTAATTATAATTATATCATTATATCGAGACATTTTTATTTTCATTCCACTTTTATTTTATCCATTACATCTAGATAATTTTCTACAGTGGGAATACAGGAAATAATAGCTATAAGAAGTGGAGAAAAAGAACTTAAAGTAAGAAAGAAGTCTGTACTAAGTCTGTATATTAAGTCCAGAAAATACCACAACTTGGGTGAGTTTCCAGAAGACATAATTAGATTTCAAAAATAATGTAGGACTAAGTGAATTGCTTAATTAAAACCCAATTATTAGAATATTTCATGATGTCCACTCTAGGGATTATTAGCTGACAGCAACACTTGTTGGAATAATAAAACTTGATAACAAAAGTTTTATTAAAATTTCTATGTCTATGAGTATGGGTTTTAACTGCAAAATAACACAATGTATACCACGGCAGCTGGGAAGGCTTTATACAAGAGAGCTAAAATATGAGAGTTAAAATGTCTTGAAGAAGAAACTGATGTAAGGGAGAGTCTGCAAAGCCAGTTTTCTTCCTTTCAGTGATGGTGAGGAAGAGAGCAGGGAAGTCTCTGAAGGCTTCTTGGGCTGCTGAAGGAAGGAGCAATGCATGGTCAAAGCAGCTGCCCTTGGCTCCTGGGAGCAGTTTGCTTTTCAAGGCTTGAGTCAGAGAGCTGCATAAACCTTGAGCATTCAGAGCAGAAGGACACTCGACAGAGAATGAGGAAGAATGGCAAAATTTCACCCCAAAAGCCTGCC